GGTGTTGGACCCATATGCCGGAGGTGGCGAGTTCAAACCCAGCCCCAGCCAAAAATAGCAAAAACAAACAAACAACAACAAAAAGTTTTTTTCTTTTTCTTTTAACCATTTTATTTTTTAATTTTTTTTTTTTTGAGGCAAAGTTTTACTTTGTACTTCTAAGAAAGTTAATTGTAAAAATGAATATTTACTTAGTACCTATGACATATCGAGCTTTCCAAGTGTTAAGACGTTTTCATATGTACTTCTTCTGCAATTCAAGACTATAATGCAAGTACTATAAATCTATCCTATAAATAAGCAAACAGCAGCTATTCATGGATATTAATTAGTTTTCCTGGAAAGTGACAGAACTTGAATCCAAAGCCAGGTTTTCTGTCCCCATGTCTATACTCTACCAAACTGTTTTCCAATCCTTAAAATACCTTTAACCCTCTCTTTAAAATCTTTTCCTCCTGTGACTTCTACAACACAGCCTATTTATTCTTCCTGAAGTTTCTCCTTCCTTTCTGTTTCTTTTGCTGGTTCTTCCCGCTCCTCATGCAATTTGTAGGCTTTAATCTTTTTCATGGTCAAAAGGCCATGCTAATTAAACAAGAGAACCTCAGGAAATTTCAAATGTAAAATAATAATGACTTACTTCTTAAAACTCACTTATTACCAAGACTTACATAACACCACTCTCTGTTAGTTTTTCTCCTATAGCTGACACTTCTTGGAAAACCTAACCTGCCTATAAGATTGGTATTTACAGGAATAATAGAGTCCTTCTAACCCTACAAACTTTCCAGCACAAGCTCATTAATTTTCCATGATGTCAATTATAATCTCTTCACTGATGGCTCAAAAGTTTATTTTTTTCTCTTAATTTTTTATTAAATCATAACTGTGTACATTAATGCATTTATGGGGTACGATGTACTGATTTTATATACAATTTGGAATGTTTACATCAAACTGGGTAACACAGCCTTCACCTCACTTACTTGATTACTGTGTTAAGACATTTACACTCTACTCTTAATAGATTTGACATGTACCTTTGCATATGCACCAATTAGTGAGGTCCCACCAATTACCCTTCCTCCACCCAACTTCCCCCAACGCCTCCCCATCCTCTTCCCTCCTTCATCCTGGACTATAGTTGTGTTTTATCTTTCATATGAAAGTGTGGGTGATTATATATCAGTTTCATAATAGTACTGAGTACATTGGCTACTTTTTCTTCCATTCCTGAGATATTACAAAAATATGGATCGCTTCATGAATTTGCATGTCATCCTTGCACAGGGGCCATGCTAATCTTCTCTGTATCATTCCAATTTTAGTATATGTGCTGCCCAAGCAAACAC